GGTTCTTAGGGTTCGAGAGAATACCTTGGCAAAATATCCTTAGTATTCGAGAGAAACTAGGGAGGAACTACATAAACAAAGGGTTCTAGGTAGTAACTAGGCCTAATCTACCTTAGAGATATGGCTAGGATTTTATCCGACTAAAAGGAGTTTCAATTTGTCGTGTGAGAAAGCTAAAGTCTTACATTTTAAATCTCGTATTTACATTTTATTTTGCCTTGACATTTCAATTTGTTCGCACGCATCACAATATAATTTGTCACAACATATCCATTTGCTACCACACTACCACCATTCTATTTCCACATCAGACATTTCATATTGCCACAACATTCTCATTTATACATACCATCACTAACTTTACTTCATCACTAACTTTACTTAGGTGACAAAGTAAAGTGCCTTGACAAACTTATTTAATTTCCTCAATTCCCTGTGGAGACGATACTAAACTTATCACTGTATTACTTGTTCGATTGTGTACACTTGCACATATTTCCACACCCATATATAGTACTCACAAACAGCGGACATTTAACATAGCATTTTATTGATATCGTTCGAGGGCTGCTTATATAAAGTAATAGCTAAAGTTTTAACTAGGAGATTAAGATGGATGATAGGAAAAGTTATAAGCGAGACTCAATGTGTTTTTTTGGCTGAAAGGCAGATTTTTTATGGTATTTTGGTGGCAAATGAAGTAATTCATTCCTTGAACAATGAGAGGGGAGGGATAGGTGGTTTGATATTAAAGTTAGATTTTGAAAAAGCCTATGATTGTGTATGTTGGGAGTTTTTAGATTCTGTTCAGCAACAAATTTGATTTGGAAGCAAATGGAGACAGTGGATTTGGGAGTGTGTCTCAACAGTAAGAGTTTTTGTATTACTAAATGGATCTCATTGAACTGAAGCTTAAGGCAGGGAGACCCACTATCCCCCTTCCTGTTTATTATGATAACAGAGGCTCTTCATTTATTATTGGAATAAGCAGAGCGAAAAGGATTCATTGAAGACATAAATAATGTAGCACTAAATTCAAGCATTTCGCATTTGCAATTTGCGGATGATATAATTCTATTCATCCGACCAGAGCAAAGAGTTCTCATAAATGTAAAGAGAATTCTTAGATGCTTAGAAATGGGTTCAGGGCTTAGCATAAACTTTAGGAAATTATGTTTAGCAGGGGTGGGGGTTAAAGATGTTAAAGTTAATCAATTAGCCCTCTTGTGTGGATGTACTGTGAGTAAATTGCCATTTAAGTATTTGGGAATACCATTAGAAGCGGATCCGAGAAGAGTTTTGACTTGGGACCCGATAATTGAGAAATGTAAAGTTAAATAGGCGGGTTGGAAAAGCAGAATGTTGTCATTTATTAGGAGAGTGGTCCTTATCAACTCAGTTTTGTCAATGTTGTTGCTTTATTATATGTCGATATTTCCCATCCGAAAAGCAGTAATATCAAAGATATACAAAATTAGAAGAGGATTCCTTTGGGGCTATGAAGGGAACAAAAAGAGGCTGTCAATGGTGAATTGGGGAAGATTGTGTACTCCTAAAAAGAAAGGTGGGGAGGGAATAATTAATTTGAGGGTAAAAAATAAGGCGCTATTAGCAAAATGGGGGTGGAGGTATACAAATGAAAGAGATGCATTATGCAGGTCAGTAATATGTCATAAATATGGATCAGATTGGTTTCCTTGGTTGGTTAATCAAGGAAAAATCAAAGACGCTTCTATAACATGGAGAGAGATCATCAATAATTTGCAAAGTGAAGAAAATGAAAAGTGGATGAGTGGTAATTCATTTCGATAGCAAGTGGGAGATGGGAAAACAACACTGTTTTGGGAGGATGTGTGGTATGGAGAGAAAACACTAAGGTCAAGATTCCCTCGATTATATAGGCTTGTGTCAAGAAAATTTAAATCGGTTTGTGAAATGCTAAGTATAGGTGAGTGGCAAAGACTATAAATGACAGCTTTGTTTGACAGACAACTCTTGGATAGGGAACGAACCATAGTCCATATCATAAAATGAGAAGTCGACATGGTTAAGTTAAATTCGTGCGTGGCTGACCGTATTATATGGGTTTATAAAAAGGATGGAATGTTTAAGGTTAAGAAAATAACAGATTTGATGATTTGTAATGGAAATTTTGAAGATGTCGATTTGTTTAGCTTTGATAAAATCTGGAGTCTAAAGGTTCCTCCGAAGGTGAAATATTTTTTATGGATGTTAAAATTGAATAGAGTGCCAACAAAGATGTTCCTTAAAAACAGAGAGATTATGCTGCCTGACAACCAGTGTTTATGTCCTTGGTGTGGGGATGCAGAAAAAGATGCGGACCACTTTTTTGTGTCATGTATTTTTATGGGATGCTTTTGGAATGCTTTTTGCAGATGGTGGCATATTACAGGATGCAATATCCAAACAGTTGATGAATTATTTGATTTCTGCTATAAGTTTCGATAGACAGGTACAATAGTATTAGCTTGGCATTTAAGCTTTGCAGCGGCGTTTTGGAGTCTCTGGCTGGTTAAGAATGAATTTGTTTTTAGGAATAAAGGTATTATTCTTAAAGACATTCTAGTTTATGTGAAGATGAGAGTGTTATCTTGGTGTAAGGCGATGAAGGAATTTGATGTCTTAGATGAGAAACGTTGGTGGGATTGTCCTGGGGATTCAACTGGATCAAGTGAAGACCAAAGAAGATTGAAGAGTGTCTGGAAATCGTCTGTGTTGGGCTATATGAAGTTTAATGTGGATGAATCAACTACAAATGAGGTAGCTGGTTGTGGGGAAGTGCTAAAGACTGCTGAAGGTCATAGTAGCGATGTTTTTTGGGTCGGTTCTAGAGGTTAACTCTGATTATGAAGAACTGTCAGTAACTAAAAATGCCTTGGTGGTTTTTAGTGAATCCATTTGGTGCGGTAAGGCTGAACTGATTGTAGAATTTGATTATACAGTAGTGTTGAATTGGGTTCAAAACTATTATGTTCGACCATAGAGATGGGGTTCAACTTTTTAATAGATCGATGGCAATGTATTGAAGATAAAGGAGGTCAAGTTTGTGTTCATGCCAAGGTTAACAAATAGTATGACAGATTACTTGGCCAAGTTGGGTTCGAGGAGAAGAGTTATGTTCAAATAAAGTTGGCAAGACGATGGTATGGGTCCGTTATGTTTAAATAATGCTAGCATTGTAAAAGCTTGAATAGATAGATTTTGAGAGGCTTGCAGATATAGGGGGTTACTTTATCCAGATTGTTGTAGCGAGTCCATGTTCATGACTCTGCAATTTGTGATTTTGTCTAAGGTGGGGCAGTTCGATATTAGGCGTGTATTTTATCTCTTGATTTTGTGTATTAATTATGTGTTCTTTCCCAATTATGGAGTACTCTTTTCCCCCATTTAGGATTAAGGGTTTTTTTAATGAAGCTCTTAGTTGGGGACATGTTTTCTCTCTGAGTGAAATAAAAAATTACAAGTTGTTGAGAAAAAAAAGACATTGACTCCTCAATTGTTACTTAATTATCTTATTTATATATATTTTTATTTAAAACAACAGACTTTTACTCGATGCTCGTCAATGTGTGCTTATTTTTCATACTGACAATGATACTTGTTCATATCTTATTTAATTTTTATAGATTTTTTTTATCTAGCCAATGTGAATATAAAGTATTATATGTTATAAATATTCTCAATACTTAATTATCATGTTGTAGTAATTGTGTTTGAATCCGTAACTTCTAGAAAAATAATAATTCGTTTAATCACTAAAATAAATTAATTCGTGTAATTTTTATAAATTGTTTTATGAGATTCTGATTTTATTATAATTTCTCGTCACCTTTATAATAAAACTAGGCAAAATTGCTCAACCAGTGGAAAAATGATTTTCATATATAATACCCCACCATATTATTTGCTCAGGGTCATTGCTACTAGGGACGTAGATATATATATATATAGGTTGGGGCCACTGCCTCCCTAATTTATTATTATTATAAAATATAAGGGATAAACATGTATTTAGACCTTCAAATTTTGATTTATTTTGATTTTTCCCTCTCATTTTAGTTTATTTTTATTGTGCCATTCTATTTTCTATTATTAGTTATATCTTATTCCCTTGAATTAGAATTCTGGCTCCATCCATGATTGTTGCAACGTCGAACATATGACATTGGGAACACACTGCATCTTCAAGAGACGTAGGGAGGGTAATGCATCTTCAATATTCTTGGAGGAAGGGAAATGTAGATCGAGGGAACTGATAGACCTTGAAGACACATTACAATCCATGCATTTTGTCTCCGGTAAAACTAAAGAAGCATTGCAATCTATGTGTCTTCCCATAGTCACTATAGCAATGACTCTAATTGAGCAAATGATATGGTGGGGACATTATATAGGAAAATCTTTTTTCCTACAACCTTAGTTGAACAAAATTACCAATAAAACTGATTGCTCTTAGTATTACATCTCTTTGTATCGATAATCAAATTAACTCAAACATATTAAATTTGTATACTTTTAATATACATTCCCAAACCCAAATAGTATAGCTATTATTCAAAACCCATACATAACTAGATTCTCTAACTTAAAATCATTTAGCATCCGATAAAAATATTGAGATGCATTTAAAGGTAGGCGTAAAACTTTATGTCAGATAGTGTTACATACATACAATTGTAATGGAAGAGACGACGATTAAAGTTTATATATAATTATGATTAAAATATTACATTAATATTTTATCTAAAATTTAGGAGTTTGATTAAAAAATATCTAATTTTATATGCGACATCATAGAATAACGGTTCAATGATCAAATAGAAACAAATTGATAATATAGGTGATTGAAACATAACAACTAAAAGTCTTGTGGTTAAAGTAAGATAAAAAATAACAAAAGCCGCATTGTGTAGTTTACCCAATATTTATTCCTTGTTCAATACAATCTGATTTACCACTGCCCTAATGTAGACATCTTTGCGGCCCTTTTGTTCTTTTTCATTTCATATCCAGCGCTTTCGCCTTCTCGGATTTCGGCTTCTTCATCGCTTTCAGTCTCTCCGGCAAAGCTCGATACACCTCTTAGGTCAGCATTGCCTCTCTCCCTTCTTTTCTTTCTTAATTTATTCTCCTGGGATTACCGTTTCTGCTAAGAATATTTGATCCAAAGGTTGTAGTTCACTTGCCGGTTTTTTTTCTTTGAGAAAAGGGTTTTGCCACCCTCATGTCTTAATGTTTGTTTCTTAATGAAGAATTTGAGGTAATGGGTTTCTTATGGCGAACAAAAAGATTGATCTTTCTTTTATATGATTTGGTTATGTTAGAGTTAGTTGTATTTGGGTTAATTGCCGACTGCTATGGTGATTTTTATGAGGGAAATTTCTTGTTTCAAATTTTTTGTATGCTTTTCTTTTTGTTTCTTTGTTTCAGTTGACATTGACGAGTAAGGACGACTTGCTGCAGCGATGGCGAAGCACCACCCTGATTTGATCATGTGCCGGAAGCAGCCTGGTATTGCAATTGGACGATTATGTGAGAAATGTGATGGCAAATGTGTAATCTGTGACTCCTATGTTCGTCCTTGTACTCTGGTTCGGGTTTGCGATGAATGCAACTATGGTTCGTTTCAAGGTAGGTGTGTTATCTGTGGAGGAGTGGGAATATCTGATGCATACTATTGTAAGGAGTGTACACAGCAAGAGAAGGATCGAGATGGTTGTCCTAAAATTGTTAATCTTGGGAGCGCAAAAACCGACTTGTTCTACGAACGTAAGAAATACGGCTTTAAGAAACGATGATGAAATTTGCTTGATTATGTAGCCAGGAATGACCAAAATGATAGGATTTTTAGAAATGTTGGAACTATAACAAGGCTTCAGGTCTTTAGATTTGCATGTTAGATATGTTTCCTTCAATAACTATATCTATGGCTGAAATAGCTAGTCACATTGCTTATGGTGATCTATAACATCTATTTACTGATTTGCACTCTTGTGTGATTTGTATCTTGCATCTATAGGTTAATACAAATGATTCAATTCTAGATGTTTTTTATACCTTTGTTTTTGCTCATGTGTAGTCCTATTGGATCTTGATTTACAATGTGAAGTAAGGTAATTCTCTTTTATTCGGTTGAGTCTCGCCTTTTATCATGCACATATCATTATATCTTTACTGGTAAGATCCCTTGTTTATGTAATTCTTTGATCTTTGGTGTTGTAATGAACTCTCCCCATTCCATTTCATTCCATATAGTCATATATAGTTAATGATTTTTTATGAAAATTCAAAAAAAAAATTAAATCATTAACTTAGGAATTAATTGAGGGAGTGGGTTTGCTTTTAGGTAATTGGCTAATCTTGGTCCTATAATTCTTCCATCCAAGCAACAAGCGATTCTGGAACCCATTGTTGTGACATTGTTGTTGCGACTGGTCATCGAGCCTAAATTGGTAGGTAGAAAGGATGGTGTTCATGTGAGACTGGACCCCGAAAGCTTTTGGTTCATCATCGGTTGATGGCATTGAGAGTTGCATTTGCTAAACTGCTGCCATTGTTTAGGAACATGAGATGGCTGCACGCCCTTCTCCTATGTAGAAGAGGTTCCAGTAGGAGTCAAGGGTGGTGTTGATGTTGAAGGTTTCATAACAAATGGAGAGGTAAGAGCAAGTGGGCTCTTCGAACCATGATCAAGACTAGTTGCATATGATGTAGGTGAAGGCAAGGCTGAACTTGTCGAAGTATATAAGGGACGGAGCTCCTCCGGCTTGTGAGCAAAGAAACAGATCTTCCTAGTGCAATTAGTCTTATCCTTGCGTAGACGAGTTCGATATTGCGCGGGATGAAGCCAAGATTGGAAAATACCATGTGCATACTCACAGTTATCGCCTTGCTTGCACGTTCCCTTACGATATTTGATAAGGGACACAACTATAAAGATATTTCCAAGGATCATGCCTCCTTGCATTCTCCCCTGGGTGAACAAATGGACATCCAATCCAGTCATTAGATCGAGCAAGGTTGGATCTTGAAGGTGTACATCCTAAACTCAGCTGTCACGTATATCTTGTTCTTGATGTTAGGAAGAGCAAGATCGTAGGGATAATCATTCTTCTCATTTTCCATCTTTCCGAACTCGGGGAGTCGAATTCGCTTGCTGCTCGAACCCTTCTTAGTCATTACTTGAGTTGGAAAACCCTCTCTTTCGTCAATACCACTACTTTCTTTCAACAAAGCATCCAATATCTTCTTCCTTGAGTTGAAGCCAGACTTGCAACAAGCTTAAGCAATCAACTCATCGGGTCGGTTTCCATTAGCATCTAAAGAATTCATATTTGCGGAAGCATCAAACAAGATTCCTGCTTCGTACCGAGGGGTAATGCCTTTTTCCATGCTAATTTGAACCCATCAGAACTAGCGGTGTATTCGGTTCGGTTAGTTTTTTACCAAAAATTGAACCGAACTGAAATAAACGGTTTTTCAAAATTTAAACTGAAACCGAAACTGAAAAAATCGAAACCGGTTTTTCGGTTTTTCAATGAAAAAATCACTTGAAACTATAAAATTTTTAAAAAAAAAATTGCCTATTCGGTTCAATATGGAACAAATGGGTTTCATATGGAAAACCCGAACCGAACCGAATCAAAATAATTAAGATTTTAAACCGAACCGAAAAACGAACTGTATAATGTCAAATCGAACCGAACCGTTTTACTCGGTTCGTATCGATTTTTCGATTTTCTCGGTTTCGTTGCTCAGCCCTAATCAGAACAAGCCTTGTTAACGTCAACACAACCACTTTTGACGATATAATTCACCACATCCTTGCACCGGAAGATTGAAGTTGTCAAAAGGGGAGTTCTTTCTGCATACCCCATCTTCTTTGAACCTATTGTCCTTCCATACCACAAACTTGACTCGTCAATGTCATGACCCTCTTCCTCGCGGCAAATTTGAAGCCGACCAAATCATTCATGGCTGACAACTCGAGCAAATTCGAGAACTTTTGAGAAACCCCATTTTGTTTATGAGACTCACCTTCCATGATTTGAGCTGGTTTCCTCGTTGAAACATTGCACATGGTAATTTCTCTTTTGAAGAAGAATGTTTTAAATATTTTACTTTTTTTTTTAAAAAAAATTTATTTAAATATGATAATTTTTAGTATAATTTGTAAAGTGGTTATAACATATCTAGGTGGATGCTGAGTTTTTTTTATTTTTTATTTTATTTTTGAAGGATATGTGGATGCTTAGTTGTTTGTACAGAGCTGTTGCTGTTTTTTAACCAAAAATATATCTTGCAAATAACTTTTTAAAATATGCAAAAACAATTATTCAGAACAAAAACATTAAAAAGGATATGAACACATTTCAGGGTGTATAATATTTGTAAAACTGAATTAGTATTATTTATCTAATCCCTCCGATACCATTTTGAGGTTAATATATTTGTGTATTTGACACTCGTTCAAAGGAATAATGTGTGATGTATTCGGTAGGGGATTTCATCAAAACAAGCAATGTCCCATGTGATTCCACATGACATGACCTTTGAAAGACACCCACGTGCCCTCCGTCGAACTCGTGATTATACATGTCTTTGTAAGAAAAGCACACCAAGTGAACACTTTTGTTTTCTACCCTAACAAAACATTTGACAATATATCCCTTATAATGTGTGATGTGAATTTTATTTTAATCTAATTTTACAATGTCATAACATAATTCATTTGATAAAAAATTGTTAATAGATGCAAAGACTCTCGTATCATTAATCAGATATACGAAGCGAAGTCCTCACGATATAAATTTTATTTTAAATTTGAGCATTCATTTCAGGCAGGGCAGCAACATAAAGCTCTGAGTTGCCATCATTTTAAAACCCTACTGGTACTGATGCAAATCTTGAACTTGGGTGGGTGGACTGAATGGTACTGCCCTTATTACTCTGCTGCATAATTGTCTTCATTTGAACAATTTCGTATTTAAAAAGTTACGTATTTTTCTTTATATCAATTAAATAAATTATTGATTTTTATTCATCAAATAATATTATTCTAATCCAAACACATATTATATTAAAAACCAGCTGAGGAATATAGCTCTCTACCTCATCCCCGTGACTTGACAGATCAAACAACTAAAACAGGACACAAACTGAACGTGCTTCCTATTTTATTACTAAAATTCTTTTTCATTAGTTTCTATGTACTCTTTTGGATACATAATCTTCAAATTCTCTTCTGTTAGTGTGCCTAAACAATACTAGAGAAGGGGGTAAAACATTTTTGGGATGTGGGAAGTATGATTAAAGTACATTTAAAAGTTGTCCCAAAGTAAAGTCTGGTAGTAGGAACATGAGCAAGACAGATAGAAAGGTGAACACTTTAGGTCTGTGAAAAAAGGGTATTGCTTTGCCTTGATCCAAGACATTGTTCCAAACTAGCATCACCGTTTTCATTGGACCACATGCTTCGAGCCTGTCTGAATTAATGTCTTTTGTATTCTTTTATTACTCACTCGTCTCCCTTTTTTATCATTGCCGTCGTGCTCTCTCCCCAGCTCCTATGTTCTTGCTTTTTCACTCTTCTTCCATGAGGAATATCAAGAAATTACCATATCTGAAATGACCCCCACGCCCTTCTCCTTCACCGTTTCCCTCCTCGCCACCATCATCGTCTCGTTAACGACGGAATCCGATGTTGTTACCGCTCTGGGATCGGCCTCCACGGTTGCTGTCACATTCGGCACGGGAACCGTTTGTGGGATTATAGCTGGTGATCCAACACAGAAAGTCCAGTGCTACCAAAAGGGACTCATTGTGTCGGTATTGCCGAACGTGTCGTTTGAGGCAATCTCCGGTGGCAGAACCTTCTTTTGTGGCCTTAGATCAGGTGGTTCCAGCATCCACTGTTGGGAGACTCAAACTTTGGTGAATTCATCAAGTTTTAGGCCAAAACGTATATATTCGAACTACGGAGTCCCGTTGACCGACTTGGCCGTGGGTGATGATCATGTTTGTGCTAGAGAAGTCGGTTCGGGTATTGCTAGATGCTGGAGAGGAAAGGGCGGTTCGGCATTTCCGTCACCCGGTATCGGCTTAAAGTTTCGTGGAATCACCTCAGGGAGTGGTTTTAGTTGTGGGATTTTGAGGAATGATAGTAGAGTTATCTGTTGGGGTGCTAATAAGATTGGAGTTGAAATCCAAAGACAATTTGGTAACTTGTCAATGTCGAGTTTGGTCGCTGGAGATTCACATGCTTGTGGATTGACTACGACAGAGTTCCTGGTTTGCAAAGGGAACAACGACACCGGACAACTCGATGTCACTCGCGGTCAGGCTTTCGAATTTTCCGGTCTTTCATTGGGACGGAATTTCAGCTGCGGTATCAGAAGAAGAAACGGACTGGTTCTATGCTGGGGAGGAGGTAATACAAGTAGAGTGGCAGATGTTTCATTTGAGTCAATTGTCGGTGGTTTGGATTTCATTTGCGGCTTGACAACAAGGAATTTGACACTGATCTGTTGGGGAAATGGATGGTTTAATTCAGAAAATGTTGTTCCTCTAGGAATGGTGATTCCAGGTCCATGTGTTCAGAGTTCATGTAATTGTGGTACCTATCTGAATTCTGAGACATTGTGTTATGCTTCAGGGAACATTTGCAAACCGTGTAGGACCGAGCTTCCGATTCCGGTGCCATTGACACCGATACTACCACCTAGTCCATCACAAGGATCACTGCCATTTTCTCAATCGAGTAAAGGCATCAACAAGCTTTCCTTGGCATTTTTTATCGTCGGATCAATCGGAGCTTTTGCAGGGATTTGCACTATCATCTACAGTTCACACCAAGGACTATATCGGTTCTTGCTTTGCCGGACTCATAATCCGGTGCAACCGACGGTTGCTGATGCAAACATAGTGACCGCTGTTGTGGATAACAATGACTCCATTGCCCCACCTTTGAGATCATTCTCCATCAGGCGCAACAGTTCGAGGAGACTAGTACGGCAAAGAAGTGGATCATCATCATCAAAACAAGCAGAGAGAACCCAAAACTTTTCATTCTCGGAGCTCGCGAATGCTTCAAACAACTTCTCAATCAAAAACCGGATCGGTTCTGGCAGCTTTGGGGTTGTCTACAAAGGCAAACTTCAAGATGGTCGTCAGGTCGCCATTAAAAGAGGTGAAAGTGAAACATCTGCTCACAAAGTGAAGAAGTTCCAAGAGAAAGAAACCGCATTCGAGTCTGAATTAGCTTTGTTATCAAGGCTTCACCACAAACATTTAGTCGGATTAGTCGGATTCTGCCACGAAAACGATGAGAGGCTTCTGGTTTACGAGTACATGAGCAACGGATCGCTCTACGATCATCTGCATAACAAGGACAACATCAAAAAGTCGAGCAGCATAGTGAATTCCTGGAGAATGAGGATCAAAATTGCATTAGATGCAGCAAGAGGGATTCACTACCTCCATAACTATGCAATGCCACCTATAATTCACAGAGACATAAAGTCATCCAATATACTATTAGACGCGAATTGGACAGCTAGAGTTTCGGATTTCGGACTATCACTAATGGGACCTGAATCTGATCAAGAATTTATGTCAACCGGCGCAGTTGGGACAGTTGGGTACATTGATCCTGAATACTACGTACTCAATGTATTGACACCCAAAAGCGATATTTATGGTTTTGGTGTGGTATTGTTAGAGCTTCTGACAGGGAAAAGAGCTGTTTTCAGAAACAAAGATGGCAGCGGGCCAATCGGGGTATTCGAATACGCCACCCCGAGGATATCAAATGGGGATCTCCGGACAGTGCTCGATACGAGGATCGGGGTTCCGGAGGCTCACGAGGCTGAGGCTGTGGAACTCATGGCCCATACAGCTATAAATTGTGTGAATTTGGAGGGAAAAGAGAGGCCTAACATGACAGACATTGTTGCCAACTTGGAGAAAGCTCTAACACTCTGTGAGAATAGCCCTGCTAGCCTCTCTTCTGCAACCATGTCCCTTCCTTCGGATTGATTCTTCTTTTCAGTAGAAACCAAGAATTTTCATTCTTCTTCTTATTATTCTTTGACTGTAAATGAAGGTGTTTTTGCAGATCAATTGTCCATGTAACCTTGTTTTGGTTGTTTCATATCGCTATTGCAGACGTAACAAAAACAATGATCCTAACTTCGTATCGGTAAATGACCGAGGTCATTCCAAATCATAGCATAGCACATTAAGAGACATTAGAGGTTTAGAAAACAGAACAAGGACCTGTCTTTTATATGATTACACCAAACGGTTCTGTTTCGGAATCAATAAAGCTCAAGTTTATAAAGAATTACTTTACAAAAGATTCCAGGCTGTGGATTGATGAGAACGTGAGAATTTTATATGTTGATGGCAGTTCCATGGTGGGTCATGCTATGAACATGATTTGGCAGATTTTATTCCATGTTCATAAATAAAAACAACATGTTCCATCTCGATGTCAATGTACATAAAAAAATCTTAGTAATTAGCTTTCATTGACGATCCTAAACCACAAGGCAAAAATGGCCCAAACTAGTACTTGTTAAACCATGATAACAATATGAATGTACCATCTTGCCATATAACCTAAACGGAAATTTCATTCAATTTCATGTTGGTCCAAAACAAATGCACTTGTTAACTTCCCACAAAAAAAAAATTATCTTAAATTTAATGTTGTTTTGACGTGAAAATATTAATTTATAAAATTACAAATATCGTCTCCATACGTTATTTATATTATCGATTGATTCTTAATTCAATTAATATAATTAATTAGATTAACTAAAAATAATACTTTTCCAAATCTTAATTTACCTTACAGATCTTTTAGTTGGATTAAATTTCAAATTAAATTATATATATAATATAAAATATAATTAAAATTTGTTTAACAAATAATTATAGGGGGATTTTGAAGGGTCTGTAGATAGATTCTCTCCCCTTTGAGTATAAATCCAAGCTCTGAAAATAGCAAGAAGTTTCTCAACCCTTTGAGTGTATACGTACCCATACGCTACCCTCTAAATTATTTGACGAAATTAAGACATCCATAAATACACATTTTTGAGAAGTAAAACATTCGGAAATCATATATATAGTAGTGATATTAAGTGTACAAGGACCTTATATGCAATTTGACCTACAAATTTAATACTTTTTAGGGTGAACTACACTAACTACCACTCAACTTTAAGATTTGTATCCACTTTATCTTTGAATTTTAAAAAGTTTGAATTGTAGCGTTGAGCTTTCGTTTTGGCTTCAATTATAGCATTGAGTCGTTGAATCGCTAAGAAAATGATGATATGATAGTTAGATGCTGACATGATACTAACGTGGAAGCAAAAAATAACAACTTTTTGTATGATTTTTTTTCGATTTTGAGTGGGTTTCACGAGAAAACTAATCTGATGAGAAGAAATATGAATAAAATAGAAATATTTTGATATCGATATTGTGATGAATGATTACTCCTGATGGACAGAGATCGGTCGACAACAACAAACCAAGTAGCTGCAAAGACCAAAATAGTACGCGAACTAAAATTTAGTACTTAAAATGAAAGTATTTCAAAGTTTAATGATAAAATCAATATACAAACTTAAGTTTACGGGAAATAACTATCTCATCGTCACGTGGTTTGGATTTAAGAGTCCAATGCTTATATTAAGCCAAAACTAAAATTACATGTTAAAGCTGTATAATAAAAACCCTAAAATTATATAATATTTGATGTAATTTACCCTAATATTTTAACTTAACTTGTTCGGGAGGAAATGGGTAGAAATAAAAGATTATTAATCCTAACGGGTAAACAAACAGTACGCAAAAATGTTCAGGCATGCAAGAATGGAAACAAAAGAGCGGGAAAATTCTAGGAAACTGCAAAGCCAAAGCATGAAACCCAATGCGCACCTCTCGATCGACTCTTTCAACAATGGCAGAAAATAAAATATTTTAGCGCTTCAGTGGCACCTCTATATAATCGCCATGCATATACAAATCATAAACGCTCCCCACTTACTTTTATTCTTAATAATCATTTCTCTCTAAACAAAACAACACCTGCATTTGCATTTGACCCTTCTTCTTCTTCTTTGTTCTTCATCAATGGAGTCTGCAGGAGAGCTTTCTTACATGGAGAATGGGGAGTCTAACAAAAGCTTGATGGGCAAAGAAACATGTAATAATAATGGTGGAGTTATCAGGACAGCACAAAACAGGTCAAGTTCGTTCATGCGTAAGAAATCTGACCCCATGTTGGTTTCGACGGTTCGGTTTCAGATGCTTAGACAGTTCTTATCCAACTTGCAAGAAGTGATTTTAGGGACAAAACTTGCTGTTCTTTTCCCTGCCATCCCTTTAGCCATTGCTGCTGATTGTTACAAGTTTGGAAGAGTAAGTTTGTATCAAAGTTGATTAATTATCATGTTTTAATTTAATTTGGATTATTTATTCTTCCTTTTCTGGGTTTTTTAAATGGTTAATAGCCATGGATATTTGCTTTGAGCTTGCTTGGACTTACCCCCCTTGCCGAGCGTGTCAGCTTTCTCACTGAGTAAGTTCTACCAGCCTTTCCTTCGGTCAAATTGTTAAAAGTTGTATAGTTGGAGGTCCATTTACAAATTAACCATTTTCCTTCCATGCACGTATATCGTATAGTTTTACATGTAAGATTTCTAACAAGGTTTCTTCCTATAAATTCAGACAAATTGCATATTATACAGGTCCAACAGGTATTATTTCCAAGACTATACTTACTGATAACTCAACTATTTTAAGAATTTGAGAGAATCGAAAACAATGAAATGGATTTGGAAATATTTGCAGTTGGAGGGCTGCTGAATGCAACATGTGGAAATGCAACAGAGCTGATCATAGCATTATTTGCACTTTACCAGAACAAAATCCTTGTCCTCAAGTACTCTCTCATGGGTTCTGTTCTCTCCAATCTCCTCCTTGTTCTCGGCACCTCTCTCCTTTGCGGTGGCTTAGCTAACCTCAAGAAAGAGCAAAGATATGATCGAGTAAGCTATTTCTATTTCTCTATGTATAAAATTTGAGAATGTTGAATTGTTAATGCTTTGGAATTACGTATACAATGTGCAGAAACAAGCTGATGTGAACTCTGGTCTGCTGTTGCTGGGACTGCTGTGCCATATGTTGCCGTTGATGTTCAGATACGCAGCACAGCCTAGTGGGATTTCGATTGCCAAATCTACACTGGAGTTGTCGAGAGCGAGTAGTGTGGTTATGCTCGTGGCTTATATCGGATATATCATCTTCCAGCTTAAAACTCATAGACAGATTTTCGATGCTCAAGGGGATGGTGAGGATGAAGATGAAGAAAAAGCAGTGATTGGATTTTGGAGTGGATTCAGCTGGCTGGTTGGTATGACACTCGTTATAGCTTTGCTATCTGAGTATGTGGTGGGCACAGTTGAGGTATATATAATATTTATATAATATATTTACTATATATATAGATATGGTATATGTATAGTGATGGATGTGTGTGTTGATGGATATCAGGCTGCATCGGAAACTTGGGGAATTTCCATTAGCTTTATCAGCATAATTCTGATACCTATTGTGGGGAATGCTGCTGAACATGCTGGAGCTATCATTTTTGCTTTCAAGAATAAATTGGTAAACTTAAACTTATAATTTTTATGGAGTTTTTTTACGTAAAATCTTAGTATCTAAGTATAATACATAATTTTACGTTGAATTATCTATACGTAACTTTATTATGTGTTTTGGGACCTGTTTCAGGACATATCACTTGGTGTTGCTCTGGGTTCTGCAACTCAAATTTCTATGTTCGCTGTAAGATTTAAACAAGCTCAAAAACATCTTTAACATATTGTCATCTTCAATCATTATATATATATATATATATATATTTCAGGTTCCCTTGTGTGTTGTAGTAGGGTGGATTATGAGAATCCCAATGGATCTTGACTTCAGTCTTCTTGAAACTGGATGTCTTGCTCTAACAATACTTGTTGTTGCCTTTACCCTACAGGTTTATTTTTCTTCTCTTTTTTTTAACTAACTTATTAAAATTATAATATTTATAATTTCCTCTTATTTATTATTTATTATTATTATTATTTTGCCAGGATGGAACTTCACATTACATGAAAGGAGTAGTTCTTTGCCTTTGTTACATTGCAATTTCTGCATGCTTTTTTGTTCATAAAATTCCAGCTCCATTGGGTAAGTAAACACCAAACTTCCCATGTAATTTTTCTTCTCATTAATGAACACTAATCAATTCTAAATTCTGCTTTTTTATAGATCAAACTATTGTCAACTTGGAACTCAACTCAGCCTAGCCTAGCCTCGTCGGCACCGCCTTTTTCCGCCACCATCTTGAGGATGCCGACGTTCCAACCATTCGTTTCCTTAGACCTTTGAGAATATATATTTACATTTGGGAGATCTGAGCACTGAGAAGATAAAGGGTGTTGCAGACATGAAGAGTTGAGACCATTTCTGAAGCTAATATATATATATATATATATATATGAGAGGAAAAAAAGAACCACTTTCTCATTTGAAAATGTTCGTAATTGCAAGCTTTGCTTCTGGGGATTCCTTAATAAGGTCTTGGTTATTTGTTGTTCTGTCTTCATTTACTGCATCTATTCCATTAATAATTTAACTATATGTTGCTGAAGCAGAGATAAAGACCATCTGCTTATTGGGGATGTATTAAATCATAAAATATCAGCCAATAAGAAATTTTTTCCAAATGCAGTTATATCTTTTGTATAGTTTAGACCTTTAGTGAATGCATGTATCATGCATTCTATATGTAATTGTATGTGTTTATGTGTTTTAGAGTTTGAGATTTATTCTTTTTTCCCCCCTAAATAAAAATTGTTAAAAAGAATGCAATGTTTAATTATTGAACATGTAAAATATGTTATCAGGTTTTGATTGTTTAAACGATTTCTCGGATGAAGAATTTTCCTCGAAAATTCAGGAGCTGCCACTGGATTTTCACTTGTCGGACGACGATAACGAATCCAACTACAAAAGAAGCACGGGTTTTTCGGATTCGGTAAGGTCCGACCAGGGAACAGAGTATTTGAAATTACCGCTGAGGATATCACAGTGGCGAGAAGGGTTTCGGGCTTATTGTTGGACGAAAAAGGCGTTTTTTTGAATGGTTTATATCATCAGGGAGATTCATAGTCAGAGTTTGCAAATGCGGAAACTTTTGCTTTAAGAAGATTTACAAGGGATCCTCGTTGGAGTTGAGAACAAGATGCACTCTCGTCGTTCCTTTGGTTGTTTCAACGGGTGTCATGATATTGTTAGCAAATTACTCCGTTCATTCCATGGGAAACAACACTCGGGGTCCTATGTTTCTTTGGTTGAAGTTAACGTCCAAGATCGTAAGCATAAAAAGTTCGATACTACACCATCATCGGGCGAGAAAACCACTTTGATTGGCCGAAAAAACGATGGCAGAGCACAGTCGGTTGCTGGTGGCACGGAGGGTGATGAATGGTTTGATAAAACAGAGTCAACATGGAGAGAGGAGATTTTCACCTCTCTATTTTTACTTTTTGTTCAAGAAAGCAATACAAGTGAACCAACCGGCACCGAATCATACAGTAAATATGCCAAGTTTCTATGGAAAGCCAGAGGGTGATCTGTGCGCAGCTGATATCTTGCTGTTTGGGATACTGTTTTAGAACAGAGGCTAGTTCAAGCTAAATAACACGTCACACAGAAGGTTATAAAATTCAAATTTGCACCAGATGTCCCTAAACATGAACTCGTTTAATGACTATGTTCTCGCATCAAACATGAAATTTCAGGTTTAGGATGTCTTAATGTTATAAAAACTTGAACATAACCGTTCATTGCTAGCAAGCATATTAATCCCATCTAAGTAATGAATAACAGAAGGGAAAAATAATAAAAACAAAGGGAGAATGAAACAGGGAAAAGCTTGGATTGCAAGAGTGTTATTGGAGCATTAATGAACAAAATGGCAAAGATACAAAAATAATGCACTAAATAAATCACCAAAACTAGCCTACAACAATCTTTGATTTAGGCCAAGCCTTGAGTTTCTTCAGCATATATGACATGGCTCGTAGGTTAACCGACGGAAAGAGCAGCTCATTGTGCTCCATCAGAATTCTCATTTGCATTAAATAAAGTATTCAAGAAACTAACATCAGGAGTATAGAAATCAACAAAGGTGGTTGTTATAGTTGGAGAAGAAGATGAAGAACAGAGGAACGGGCAGGATTTGGGAATGGAGAAAGAAGGTTTAGGGATTCTAGAGAAAGAAGGGTTAGGGATTCGGGAGAGTAAATTGGGGATTGAAATCAAAAAAGGGATTGAAGCACGAGGGGAATTTGACTTATTTGATGAAGTGGAGGCAGGCCAAGGGGATTTGGGGCTAGATGGTGCGGCCCAACTAAGTGGCCCAGTACCTGAACAACAAAAGAAAAGGGAATCAGTTTGTTAAGCATTCAGTTATAGAGAATTGCCCGCAGGCATTGCTAGATTTACTCGTACAAATTGTAACTAAATAATACCTCATGTAGAGCACATTTCCTTTATGATTTGAATGAATGAGAATTTCCTTTCTGTAATCTCCTTCTTCTTCTTTTTCTAAAACCCTCCTTCTTCGATAATTTCTTCTTCTTTATTCTCAATCCACAACAAATTGGTATCGAGAGCCTCGGTTCTGGAAAGCAGTGGGCATGACAAAAAAGAATCAGAACATGGCTGAAGCTGATCTATCATGCCTACAAAAACAGATGGAAGAATTAACAACATTAGTGAAGCAAGGACATGATGAGACTAATCCACCTAAGTGGTGGGAAACACAAGAAAACAGAATCACAACACTGGAGTCAAGGATGGCTACTAATCAAGGCTATGTTGAAGAGTTGTTAAAGATTCTAACAGGCAGAACGGGTGAGCAAGAACATGCTGATGGTGAACAGGTACAAACTCCTAATGCTTCTAAAAATGAAGAGAAAAGTCATGTTTTGGTAACTATGGTAAATGACAAATCCAGATTTACTTATAAAGCAGATGAGCCTGGGATATTAAGAATAGTTCTAGACATGAAAATCTAAGGGGTGAAAACAGTGAATCTAGACCTATTCTGTTAGGTCAGGAAACAGAGAAAAAAAGCTCAAGGGATTCATTTAACAACTCAGGGACTATGTGGCATAAACCTAAAATAGAGATGTCATTCATTGAGGAGGCTAATCCTAGGGGATATATTCAGAAATGTTTGAAATATTTCTCTATTTGTGGCATTCCTGTTGAGCAGAGAGTAGAGGTAGCTACTATGTATTTAACAAGCAAGGCTGAAATATGGTTTGATGGGTATATTATGCAAAAACACCATGTTACATGGCATGAATTTGAAGCTAATCTTTGTCACAGATTCAGTGACAGATCTTTTTCTGATATTGTAGAGGAGTTTACTAAGTTGACTCAGAAGAGGAGTGTAGAGGATTATCAAGAGAAGTTTAAGGAGTTACAACCTCATATGCTTTTGCATAATCCTACTTTGACTGAGGAATTTATTGTGTCACTTTTTATTAGTAGACTCAGAGATGATATTAAGCATAGGGTCAAAGCTTTAGATCCTAAGAATTTGTCTGAAGCATGTAAGCAAGCTAAACTCTATTAACTATCTGTGGAATTCGAGAATAGAAGGTTGAGGCCTTCTTTTAAATCCCCACCCTACCCAAACCCATTATTATTTCTAAACCATCTTCACTGCCAGCAACTACAAAACCTATAGCAGTATCAAACCCTAAGCAAAATCTTATTGAGTACATAAGGCAGAATAATCTCTGTTTTAAATGTGGTGAAAAATACATCACAGGTCATCAATGTAGAAACAGACAACTGAATATGATTACTGAGGAAATTGATACTTCCCCAGTAGAATTTTTGCCTACAGACTCATATCAATCTCCACAAACAGAAGAAGAAACCCTAGAAATCTCTATGAATGCTATTATTGGCTCTATTAGTCATACTACATTGAGAATCCAGGGCACTATACAAGGAAAATCATTAAATATCCTAATTGATAGTGGCAGTACACACAGTTTCTTGACTCCTAAATGGGTTGATGTTGGTATTCAGATCACTACCCCTTATCCTTTGGCCATCACTATGGTTAATGGCCAACAACTATTCAGTACTGCTAGATGCAACCAAGTACAGTGGCAAATACAGGGACATACATTTTTGCATGATTTTAGATTACTTAAATTGGGTGGGAGTGACATGGTTTTAGGAGTGAATTGGATGAAGTTATTTAGTCCAATATTAATGGACTTCAATAATATGACTTTAAGTTTTGATCATGAAGGAAAGCATATTTGTATTCAAGGACAACAACCCTCAACTGAATTACAGCAAATTTCAGGGGCTACATTACTAAAAATGAGTGCAGGGGATTCTGATATTATGGGGCATATTTTCCTATTGAATATGGCAGGAAGTTCTTCTTCTATTCCTATGGAACTCGAACATGTATTGGAGAAATACAGTTCAGTCTTTGCTGAACCTGAAGGGCTACCTCCTTAGAGGTCTCATGATCATGTCATTCCACTTAAACTTAATGCTACACCAGTTAATATGAGGCCTTACAGATTTCCTCACAATCAAAAGGCTGAGGTTGAAAAACAGATAACTACAATGCTTTCTTATTCTGTCATTCAACCTAGCAGAAGCCCCTTTCCCTCTCCCTGCCTTCTTATTAAAAAGAATGATGGCACTTGGAGATTTTGTGTGGATTACAGACAATTAAATAGTCTGACTATTAAGGACAAATTTCCTATTCCTATAGTGGAAGATTTATTGGTTGAGCTACATGGGGTAGTTTACTTTTCAAAAATTGATTTGAGGTCAGGCTATTGGCAGATTAGAATTAAACCAGAAGACATTTACAAGACTGCATTTAGAACACATCAAGGCCATTATGAATTTAAGGTAATGTCTTTTGGCCTTACTAATGCTCCTGCTACATTTCAGGCCCTTATGAATGAATTGTTTAATTCTTTCCTTAGAAAATTTGTTTTGGTTTTCTTTGATGATATCTTGGTGTACACCAGCAGTATGACAGACCATGTTGAACATTTACAGTTAGTTTTGGAAGTTTTGCAAAAGAACCAATTATTTGCAAAACTTTCCAAATGTTTTTTTGGTCAGACTAAAGTGGAGTATCTAGGCCATATTATCTCTGATGCAGGGGTGTCTACAGACCCTAGTAAGGTGGAAGCTATGCATACTAGGCCCAAGCCTAAATCCCTTAAATCTCTTAGAGGATTTCTTGGTCTGACAAGATACTACAAGCGATTTATAAAGAATTATGACATTATTAACAGACCATTGACACAAATGTTAAAAAATGATGGGTTTCAATGGACTGATGCTTATACTGCTTTTGAGGATCTTAAGAAAGCTATGTGTTCTGCTCCAGTTTTAGAATTACCAGATTTTTCTAAGACTTTTATCTGGAAATAGATGCTAGCTCTGGGGGTATAGGGGCTGTTATTTCACAAGAGGGAAAACTTATTGCTTATTTGAGTAAAGCTTTAAGTCCTACACACTCAGCTCTATCTATTTATGAAAGAGAATATCTTGTTATTCTCTTGGCTATTTCCAAATGGAGACATTATTTGGAGGGTAGACCATTTGTTATTAAGACTGACCAGGAGCCCCTGAAATTTCTTTTGGAGCAGAAGTTGTCTACCACTATTTAGAAGAAATGGTTGACAAAGCTATTGGGTTTAGACTACACTATTCAATATAAAAAGGGGAAATCAAATGTAGTTGCTGATACTTTATCTAGAACATAGGAGGATTAAGCTCATTGTTTGACTATGGGAGTGACAGTTTTAGTTCCTATTTGGGTTCAAGAGATTGAAGAAAGCTATAAGGATGACTCTCTAGCTCAGAATTGGATTTCCATCTTAACTATTAATCATGTTGCTGACAATAAATGGAAATATGCTAAGGCTGTTGTTAGATATGATGAGAGAGTTTATATTGGAGCTAATGGAAACCTTAGGTTGAAAGTTATACAGACTTTGCATGATTCTCCTTAGGGTGGACATTCTGGGGCATAGGCTACATATTATAAGATTAGGTAAAATTTTTATTGGCCAAATCTTAAAGCTATGGTTGCTACCTATGTGAGGTGTTGTGAAGTTTGCTAGCAAACTAAGGTGGAACATGTAGCAAAACCTGGTTTGATCCAGCCCCTGCCTGTTCCTAATCTAGCCTGAGAAATCATTACTATGGATTTCATTGAGGGTTTGCCTACTTCCTTCAAGAAAAACTGTATTTTGGTCATTGTGGATAAATTTACCAAATACAATCACTTTCTGTCCTTATCGCATCCTTATTCTGCAGCAGAGGTTGTCAAACTCTACCTAGATAATGTTTATTAACTACATGGCCAGCTTAAAATGGCCATTTCTGACAAAGATAAGACCTTTACTAGTTTGTTTTGGAAAGAATTGATGAAACAGTTGGGTAAAAGGACACTGTTCAGCACTACTTATCATCCAAAAATGGATGGACAAACAGAGAGGGTCAATCAGTGTTTAGAGTAGTATTTAAGGGGCATTTGTTTTTATCAGCCTATGTATTGGGCTAAATGGCTACCTCAGGCATAATGGTGATACAACACCACTTACCATACTGTTTTAAAATTAACTCCTTTTCAGGCTTTATATGGGTATAAACCACCTATTATGGTTTGACCAACAGATGCTACAGTTCAGTCAGTTAGTGAAATTATGACTAACAGGGAGCATATAAGGAAAATGGTCAAGCATAAGTTAGAATTAGCCAGTAACAGAATGAAGCAGCAGGCTGATAAAAGTAGATCATAAAGGGTTTTTCAAATTGGAGAATTGGCGTACCTGAAATTGCAGCCATATCGACAATCTTCAATAGCCCTGTGAAAAAAAATCTTAAGTTAGCTGCCAAATATTACGGACCATACAAAATACTCGAAAAAATAGGTGAATTGGCTTATTGATTGGACTTACCTGATTCTTCGAGACTCTACCCTGTATTTCATGTAAGCCTTTTGAAAAGATTCATCTGGGATTCATCGGTGACTGCTACAGATCCTCCTGCAATAGACGAAGATGGTCAGTTGCGGATAAAACCCTTGAAAATTGTAGGAAGATGTATCGTAAATAAAAATGGAAAGCCAGTCACTCAACTTTTGGTTCGATGAGAAAACTTGGATGAATAGAATAATACTTGGGAAGATTATTCGTTTCTGCGTGGCCAGTTTCCTACGTTTGATCCTTGGGGATAGGGCTCGTCTTGTGGGGCGGGTATTGTTATAGTTGGAGAAGAAGATGGAGAACGGAGGAACAAGCATGATTTGGGAATGGAGAAAGGAGGGTTAGGGATTATGGAGAAAGAAGGGTTAAGGATTCAGGAGAGTAAATTGGGGATTGAAATCAGAAAAGGGATTGAAGCACGAGGGGAATTTGACTTATCTGATGAAGTGGAGGCAGGCCAAGGGAATTTGGGGCGAGATGGAGCGGCCCAACTAAGTGGTCCAGTACCTGAACAACAAAAGAAAAGGAAATCAGTTTGTTAAGCATTTAGTTATAGAGAATTGCCAGCTGTCATTGCTAGATTTACCCGTACAAATTGTAACTAAATAATACCTCATGTAGAGCACATTTCCTTTATGATTTGAATGAATGAGAATTTCCTTTCTGTAATCTCCTTCTTCTTCTTCTAAAACCCTCATTCTTCGATAATTTCTTCTTCTTTATTCTCAATCCACAACAGTGGTATCTGAAAAGAGCAATCAAATCCTTTTCTCCTTTTAGCATTCCTCAGGCTAAGGAGGAAACGAAGATAATATACGGAAACCCGTAGATTCAATAATGAAAATGAAAAATTCAAGGGCACCCTCTCTTCTATGTAGGCTAACAACTACAAACTGATCAAGAAACAACTTTCTAAATCAATTCTAACAAATCAACCATTATATATATATATATATATATATATATATATATATATATATATATATATATTTCTGGTTCCCTTGTGTGTTGTAGTAGGGTGGATTATGAGAATCCCAATTGATCTTGACTTCAGTCTTCTTGAAACTGGATGTCTTGCTCTAATCCCAATTGATCTTTACCCTACGGGTTTATTTTTCTTCTCTTTTTTTTACTAACTTATTAATTATAATATTTATAATTTCCTCTTATTTATTATTATTATTATTATTATTATTTTGCCACGATGGAACTTCACATTACATGAAAGGAGTAGTTCTTTGCCTTTGTTACATCGCAATTTCTGCATGCTTTTTTGTTCATAAAATTCAGCTCCATTGGGTAAGTAAACACCAAACTTCCCATGTAGTTTTTCTTCTCATTAATGAACACTAATCAATTCCAAATTCTGCTTGTTTATAGATCAAACTATTGTCAACTCGGAACTCAACTCAACCTAGCCTAGCCTCGTTGGCACCGCCTTTTTCCGCCACCATCTTGAGGATGCCGACGTTCCAACCATCTGTTTCCGTAGACCTTTGGGAAAATATATTTACATTTGGGAGATCTGAGCACTGAGAAGATAAAGGGTGTTGCAGACAAAGAGTTGAGACCATTTTTCAAGCTAATAAATATATATATATATATATGAGAGGAAAAAAAGAACCATCTTCTCATTTGAAAATGTTTGTAATTGCAAGCTTTGCTCGTGGGGATTCCTTAATAAAGTTTTTGTTATTTTTTTTATCTCTATTCATTTACTGCATTTATTCCATTAATAAATTAATTATATGTTGCTGAATAAGAGATAGATACCATTTACTTTGTGGGGATGTATTAAATCATAAAATATCAGCCAATAAGAAAAACCTGGGCTGTTTGGTTCAAGGAATGTGAGATTCTCATAGGAATGGAATCTACATTTCCATGTTTAGTTGGTCGGGAATCTCATCACTGGTAATGTTTTATTACCAATAGTAGATTTTTTGGATATATTACCGGGAATATCATTACCTCCCTTTCCTTAGGTATTGTTGGATTACCGACATTTTGGACTAAAATGCCCTTAATTTTTTTTCCCCAAAAATATCCTTCTCCAGTCATTGAATAATAAAAATTCTACGAAGGTTAAATTTCAAATTTATCCTTAAACTATTTTATATTTACAAAAAAAAAATCTATAATTAAAATTTTATATGAAGTTTAGGGGTTAAAATAAAATTTTACCCTTTCATTAAACTTTTTTGTATTTTCAATTTTGTAAAAAATATATAAATAAATTTTATGAATTTAAATTTTTTTAAAGAAAATATATAAATATTTTCCAACTTGTTAAAAAAATAAATATATAATAAGGACAATTTGGTCAAATATACATTCCAATAATCTTTTATTCTTTTAACCAAACGCAGTAATCTTACATTCCTGCTAAACCAACCAAATACAAAATAAAACATTCTCAGTAATCCTATTCCCTGGTAATCTTACATTCACACTGGTAATCTTACATTCTGTGAACCAAATGCACCATTAGTTTAGAGTTTATTCTATTTTGGGTCAACTTCTTCTATTACACTTTATACTATAGGTAAATTGTATTTTTAATTCAGTATTTTTAATCTATGTACTTGTCAAAGTTTAAAATTTTGGTTTTAACTCATGTTATGTAATCTATTGAATCAGATTCTGTGCAAAGGCGAGAACTTTTGTTGGATCAAAATCTTTGAAATTTCGGGCTTATTGTTAGATGAAAAAGGCGTTCTATTGGATGGTTTTTATAATCCGGGAGCATCATCGGGAGGGCAAGCCGGAAACAATGGCAGAAGAGCACAGCCGGTTGCTGGTTACCTCTTGGCTCTTCAGACACTGAGCAAACATTCTTGAAAGCCATTGAAGCAGAGCCTTATAACGATTATTATTTGGCAAACTATGCTGATTTTCTATGGAGTAGCGGAGGAGAGGATACTTGTTACCCTCTTAGCTCTTCAGACACTGCTCAAGATGTTTGAGACATCGTATAGAAACATAGCAAATCCCCCCGGCACCCAGATTTAAAAGATGAGGTTCTGGGAAACTTTAGATGTACAGGGCCACAAGAACTCTGTTTCTGATATTTGGAAGAACAACGGCGGTTTCAGTGGACCTTCCAAAAAGAAATGGAAAAAAAGGCAGCATAAATCATTGATCCAACCATCCCTGGGGTTTCATTGGCTTTGAATTTCTATATTTTCCCCTTCTTTTTGGAACCTTTATTGATTCTTCAACACTAATCTGTCATTAGTGCTATGCAATATACACATAGGACAGTTTTGCTTTCTTTAAGACAAGATATGCAGGCACGGCTGTAAACATAGGATGAACAAAGATTTGTAGTCTTCAATTACCTTACATGGTTTAAACATCAAATTGGCTGATATCTTGCTATTTGGGATACTGTTTTAGAAACACAGAAGGTTATAAAATCCAAACTTCAAAGGTCAATTGCACCAAAATATCCCTAAATTGAACTCGTTTAATCACTATGTTCACAACAAACATGAAATTTCAGGTTTAGGATGTCTTAATGTTATAAAAACTCGAACACAATTGTTCATTGCTAGCAAGCATGTTAATCTTATCTAAGTAATGAATAACAAAAGGAAAAAAATAATCAAAACAAAGGGAGAATGAATCCGGGAAAAGCTTGGATTGCAAGAGTGTTATTAGAGCATTAATGAACTAAATGGCAAAGATACAAAAATAATGCACTAAATAAATCACCAAAACTAGCCTACAACAATCTTTGATTTAGGCCAAGCCTTGAGTTTCTTCAGCATGTATGACATGGCTCGTAGGTTAACCGATGGAAAGAGCAGTTCATTGCGCTCCATCCGCATTCTCATCTGCCTCTGAAGAAAGTATTCAAGAAATTAACACAACGAGTATAGAAATCAACAAAGATGGTAACTGAAAACGGAAATCAAATTCTTTTCTCCTCTTTGCATTCCTCAGGCTCAGGAGATAATATACGAAACCCCATATATTCAATTATGAAAATGAAAAATTTAGGACTTGTTACACCATAGACAAATTTGCAATTATTCATTACGGCGAACTCAGCTCTCTCTGAAGATGAACAAGCATCTCAACTCTCTATGCATCTTTACCATTTGAATAGCATCTCAATACTCTCTATGCATCTTTACCATTTGAATGTGCACTTAAACTACAAACAAAGATAATTTCCGAACAGCATCTGCATTGAATTTCCGATTACGAGCCCTGAACATTCGAATGAACTAAACATGCCGAAATGAATATTCATTTCTCAGCAGCATCTGCATTGAATATCCAGTTACGAGCCCTGAACATTCTAATGATCTAAACATGTCTAAATGCATTTTCTTCTATTTCGCAAATACAACCATCATCTCCTAGAAGTTCACATATCACAACAAAATGTAATGCAATGAAAGATGACAATGAATAGTACCATTACTAACAAGAATTCTCTAATAATACTAATTAAAACGAGATGTACCTTCAGCGCCTTCTTCTTCTTCTTCTTCTTCTTCTTCTTCTTCTTCTTCTTCTTCATCCTCAGTTTCACCTTCATACTCTTCTCCGTATCTTCCATTCAGATACTCCACCGTATCCGGAGTCAGCACCAGATTATCGCAATTCAGAATGTCGAACAGATTAAGTGTCCTGGGAGTCAACATTCTCAAAGTCCCGATATTCCGACTCGATTTATCCACATTTTCCGGCACATCCATCAACAAAAACATAGATTTATGCTTTGGGTCCAATCCCCACCTCTTCAACGCCTCGATAAAATCTTTCGTCTTTGGCTTCTCGAAGTTATCCCCGAAATCTTCCACTACTATCGTGTTCTCAGCTGCACTGGATAATGCCGTCGAAATCGCCAATCTTTTCTCCTTTTTGTTGATTTTAATCGACCAGTCTCTGGGTTTCGGTCCGAAGATAACACCACCGCCGGGACGGAGCGGAGTGCGCATAGACCCACGACGTGCCCTTCCGGTTTTCTTCTGGGGATAAGGCTTTTTCCCACCACCACTAACTTCGCTGCGGGTGAGTGTGGAGGCGGTACCGCGACGCTTGTTTTGAAGGTCGGTGGTGATTGCTCGGTGAACGACAGCTCGAGCGGTCTCGGGTGGAGCAGACTTGAGCTCGAGATAGGTTTCGCCGACTTTCTCACCGGTGAAGGATAAAATGGGGAGAGTGGAAAGCTGGGAAGAAATTGAGAGGATGGATTTTGAAGAAGAGGAGAGGGAAAGGAAAGTTGGGAGCTTTGCGGAGGGAGAAGAGAGGAAAAGGGAGGATGAGAAGAAGGAAAGTGTTGCAGCTGAAGTCGCCATTTTTTAGTTGTTCGGATTTCGGGTGCGATGAGAAAGAAGATAAGGCAACAACACATCTATGTTTCTTATCAAATTCCTTTGGTACCGGAAGTATGGCATATAAGTTAAAAATTCCCATGTAAGTCCCTATATTATAGCACACTGTGCATTTTCATTCCTACATACAACAACAACAACAACAAAACCCAATTCCAATATACAATGGGGTAAGGGGATGTAGGGTAGTAGGCTGTCCCCAACGTCAGGTTGAGAGTAACTTCCGTGGAAGACCTCTGTTAGTTAGAAAATTAAAAATATAGATAAAATGCAAAGCATGTATAAATAAATACATAAATATATAGTTGAACAGTATTTATATGCAGTCATAAATATATAGTTGAACAGTATTTATATGCAGTCATAAATATCATTAATATCATATGCGCGTTTGAAATGGGAAGTAATCTATGAAAATAAATCCCTGCTAAAAAATCTCTGCATATAGACAGAAACGTAAGACCCGACTAAATTTAAAAGTGAAGAGAATATCACACAGAAGTCCACGATAACAAGCCTAGTTCTAAGCCTTCATAAATACCAATAACAGAAACGTATAAAAAGTAGAATTCATGGAAATTACTACAATGGCATTAAAAAAAGACAGAGATGATACACCCTAGAGATGTAACTCACACTTACTCGACTACCCTAGTATTTAGTCTCCATACTTTCCTATCAGAGGTCATGTCCTCGGTAAGAGCTAAATCCATCAAATCAGATCTCAAGCAGTCTTCCCACTTCCGTCTTGGTCGTCCTCTCCTTTTGGCAACGTCGACTATAATTGACTCTACCCTCCTGACCGCATCCGACAGTAGTCGCCTAAGGACATGCCCAAACCACCGTAGTCTTCCCTCCCTCAATTTTTCAGAAACAGGCACCAACCCCTATGACATCCTAATAGTAGAGTTTGTTGTCATATCCCACAGAGTCCTACCGCATGTCCATCGAAGCATTCTCATTTCTGCAGCCTCTATCCTCCTTACATGATTCTTCTTGGTTGCCCAACATTCTGATCCATACAACGCCGCTGGTCTTATTGCCATTCTATAAAATTTTTCTTAAGTTTTAGGATATGATATATTTATTTGATTCGTTCTAATTTAAAAATTAATTAAAGAAAAAAATGAATACATGATGACTGTAGAGATTTTGGGACGAAAATTTGTTAATTTCGTTCGAATCGAACCCTGCTAATTTAAAATATTAGGACAATTCATGAAACGATACAAGTAATATACGGACATATGACTAAAATAGACTTCAATATTAACCGCCACTTGTATACTAATTTTGTATTTGTCATACATTGTTCCATGAATCAAGCAAAAGAATGGCAGAGGAACTCCTAAATCCAAGGATTGGACAAGAGCTATCCATTGACCTTTCTTCTACAATTTTCTTTTCTCTTTCAACTGAAAAAAAGGGAAATGGTTCTCCTCATGTCTGAAATGCAGGTTTGGTGTTGAATTCTTCTTCACTCATTTGGTTTGTTTCATGTCTTGCTTTCTGCAGATTAAAGAAAATGAGTATTGATGCAAAGGGCATTCAACATCTTCTTTGGAAAAACATTACAGTTTCTGGATGTTGTTGTTATAGACATTTAAGGAAATATCCAGTTGTGTCAGGTTCTCTTGTCTTTGTTTTCTTCCTGTACACGTGTTCCTCTTGTTTTCTACTATCTGCTGTGTTCTTCTCCTATCATTGCCTGCACTTTCGTTTCCATTAGATTTTATTTGAAAGCCAAACACCCTGAATCCAAATGGATTAAGAGCAACAACAGTGACAAGAAATCAAATGTTGACGTAAATAGATCGAACAACCCTTCATTGAGAAATCTGAAAAGTGTTAGACGAAATGCTCGAATGGAGATTCTAGAATGGGATAGAAAAGATAGTGAGGAATTGAACAACTTTTCTCCAACAAGTCCTTATGGTATTGCTAGCTTGTTTCGAGAGGAAATGAAAATGTTTTCTCTTAGAAGTCCTTACAGTCTTGCTAGTTTGTTTAATGATCCTAATTTCTTGGAGGAAAATCTGGAGTCGGTCTTCGACGAGAAAGGGGGGGATGGCATGGAACATGGAGGAGGGAGTTCCTTCAATAGTAAGACAAAAAATGATCGAGCACTTCCGAAGTCGCTGTTGAGTGATAGCTTTCAACGACAGTCAGCAAGGGAGGAAGTGAACAGATTTTCTCCTAGAAGTCCCTACGGCCTTGCTAGTTTGTTTAGTGATCCTAATTTCTTGGACGAAAATCTGGAGTCGAAGAATGAGAGAGGGAGGAATGGCATGGAACATGGAGGAGGGAGTTCCTTCAATATTAACACAAAAAATGATCGAGCACTTCCGAAGTCGCGGTTGAGTGATAGCTTTCAACGACAGTCAGTAAGGGAGGAAATGAACAGATTTTCTCCTAGAAGTCCCTATGCTCTTGCTAGTTTGTTTAGTGATCCTAACTTCTTGGAAGAAATTCCGCAGTCAGTATTCGAAGAGAAAGGAAGGAATAGCATGGAACATGGAGGGAGTTCCTTTAATATTAAGACAAAATGATCGAGCACTTCGTGGTACGTGAAGACACTAGTTTTTGTCCATTCGTTTTTATTTTTTATTATTAATAATCAATATTATTATTATTATTATTATTTATTAATATTATTAACTTTATTATATTACAGACCCATTTACAATTATAAATACTGGAGGCCCGAATACAAAACATATTTGATCCAAGTCTAGATCCAATCCCTGTCAGGCCTAACCAGAATTGACTCAAATAGAATCCTAAACCAAATTAGGGTTTCATCATCTCAGCAATCGCCTCAGCATCACAGTCGTTGGATCTGGCTTTGATCCAACGGCCCAGATAGTTCCAGCCGAAACCCTAGGGTATGATACCCTAGGGAAACCACACGACGCTGCCTCAGCTACCCTTGCTTCCAGCCACCTTGCCGACACCTCCATTGCCAGATGGTCCAACCAGTCGCTACCGACGTTGCTGTTACCACGACGTCAGCCTCACCGAGCTTTCCAGAAGCCAGCTGCCTCACCAAATCAGTGCTTTATGGTGAGTCACTGCCATAGCTTGGTGACTCACCGAAGACCGTCCTATTATCCGGTCCGACGAGAGCCTCATCGAGGCCTATAAAACCGAACCTGCAAAGAAAAAGCAAAAGGGACAGCGAGCAAGAATCCGAGAGCAAAATAACAGCAGAGAACCAACATCAAACGTGAACAAAATCGACAGCAACCAAAGCAGCAAATAGAACAGAAAGAAAAGAGAAGAGGAGAGAAACTTACCTTCATCGGAGTCTCCGATTCTCAGTAGAGCCACCGAAAAACCGAGGTAAAACCTTCGGTTTTGTTTAGATCTACGGATTTAAAGGGGTTTTTAGTACTAAAAGTACTCATATTCGGGTTCAAAAAAAGAGAGGAAATTTTGGTGTAAAATTTTCATTTCCGACCACCGCGGATGGTGGCCAGCGGGGGCTGTCGGTGTCGGAGTAAGGCGGCCGGCTGGTGACCGGTCTCCCTCCGGCCGGAGACTTTTAGAAAGATGGTAGAGCATTTCTCATTTTTTTCTCAGCTAGAGAGAGAATGAGAAGAAAGGAAATGAGAAGAATGACCCGAAGGGTTGGCCATTCGGGGTTTATATACCCCTCCCAAATGGTGTCATTTTGGGTAGGGGTATACGCGTAATTTACGCTTATGGGTAAACTCTTTCCGCCATACCTGCAATTTTGTAACTTTACAAATTAGTCACTAAATTCAATTTCTAATTATTTTAATTCGGTCTGTAAATTTTATTTACTTTATGATTTAGTCCGTTACATAATTATATATATTTTAGGTAAAATAACAGAATTAGCCATTATGATTTTAATAATTATTATTTTAATCACGAACAACATGGTTTAATTTATTTTAATTTAATGTTTGAATTTTATATAATTTTATTTTAGTCCCTAAATTAAGTAAATGTAAAATAGCATGTTTAGTCCATGTAAATTTTAAATAAATAATTGGGAATTAGGGTATTTAATTTTAATAAATTATAATTTAGTCACTAATTTTAATACTTTTATTTAATTACAAGCCTTTTTACTTTTTATATTTAATTATTATTGTTATTATTATTATTATGTAATCATATAAACATATATAATAAATAATATTTATTTACTTTTTTTATTATTAAATAAAAATCCCATTTATAAATTTAATTTTATATAAATTACTTATAAGAAAAATAATCATATTTTAATATTTATTTATTTTATAATATTAAGAAATGAGCTGTCTTAAAGCACCTAGAAGTCCTTTTCTGATATTCTCAAATAAATAAATATCCTATTTTTATAAATTATATATATTAATTTATTTTAATTATTTTTAAAAATATTTTATTAATATTTATTTATTTTTAATATTAAGAAATGAGTTGTCTTAAAGCACCTAGAATTCATTTTATGATATTTCTAAGTAAATAAATACCTTATTTATATATAAATATTCTCTTAAAATTATATTAATAAATTTGAAATAACAGGATTAATAATTAAATATATTTTTGAATTTTTAAAATTTCTAATAATAGAGACAATTTATAATTAATGAGTACCAATTTTGGGCGTTGTGGGGGTACTAATCCTTCCCAAACGTAATCGACCATGAATTCTTTTTTATTATTAAAAAGAACAAATTTTTGGTTAAAACGCAGACCAATTTATCTTTTAACTGATGTTTTCTTAAAAACTCTTTTAAAAGATAATTTTTAGGTATTCGACCTACCTGACCCAAAGGCCGATGGCGACTCCCAAAACATTTTAAAAACCATTTATTTACATCACTTTTTCCTCCAAGTAAAAATTCGTGCTCGGGCGAAAACCGATTACGACAGCTTGGCGACTCCGCTGGGGACTCTGGTCAAGCTTTAAAATCAATTATAAATTGTCTCTATTAATTAGAAATTAAAAATTCATATATTTAATTTATAATT